CCCCACCGCTCACAACATCATCTCCAGGTGGGGCCGCTGCCTTCCCTTCTGCGGGGTGGTCGCTATTGTGCGGTTGTCCTGGCTCCCTAGGATCTCTGTGTGTTTGTGGTGGGGGGGAAGGGTTGAGACCTGCAAACAACGGGGGGAGGACAGTGCGCGCCGGGCAGCAGCAGCAGCAGCTGCAACGTCCGCACCAACCCACATCACCCCCCATCCCACGAGCACCATCAACGCCAGGCCATGCTCTGCAGTCAAATGCAGCGCCACGTGTCGCAAGTCGCCGGGCTGGGGCTGTGTCGTCAGCTGTAGCAGTAGCAGTAGCTACACCTGCGTTGCCTTTACCTGCCGCGCGACCCTTCTGTCACCCCACTCGCACCTTGCCTTGCCTCGCCTGCTTGCTTGCTTGCTTGAGCTCCCTGATGTCCGCCTGCAAGTCCTCGCCTCGCCTCTCTTCCGTCACTCCACCTGCCTTGCTTGTCTGCGTGCTTGCCTCCTCCGCCTGCTTGCCTGCCTGCACCCATTCCCCAACTCTCCCCACTCCCCCCGAGCTCCTGGTCTGAGCGGGACGTGAATCAAGAACATTATACTCAGTGCGAAACATTTGCGTCTTGCCTGACGCTGTGACCCCCCCGCGGGATGTGCGTGTGCGCCGCGGCATGTGTTCACTGAAGCCAACGGTGTGATGATCAACCGCCCGGTGGCATCTGTTGTCCCCAGGGGAGAGCTGCACCGATGCCGCGACAGCTCTCGACACCACCAACGTGCACCGGGCGCAGTATGGTGCACCGCCTGTGGTGTGGGATGCGGCGCTGGCTTCTAGTTCGACCCAGCACGCGCAGTTGCTGGTCACCCTGAGCGGCTGCCCGGCCGAGCACTCCGACGACTTCTCTTTCGGAGAGAATGTATATACGGTGGGTTTAGTCGGTTAATTGGTAGATCCGTCGGTTGGTTGGTTGGTAGGTGGGCGGGTCTGGGTGGCTGACTAGGTGGCACATGGCGAGGTGGCAGTCTTCCCAGTCGGCGGTACGTACAGCTCTGTTCACATGGCCAGGCGGTTGGCCAACTAATAACTGCCGGCAGCGGTGCACGTGTGGGGATGCAGGTGCATTGAGGGATGGCGAGACACGGTCATGGAGACGTGTCTGTATGTATGTCTGCGTGTGGGGGTGGAGGAGGAGGAGGAGGGGATGGGGATGGGGAGGAAGAGGGTTGCAGTGAATGTTCACAACACAAACAGAACTCAGACCTGTTTGGCTGTTAAAGGACGGGGACGAGAGTGATATTGGCGTTGGCTGGCTCAGGGGGGATGTAACCCCAGCGGATCACTATCAGCACTTAAAACTGCGGGGGACGGCACCCCGCCATCCCCTCCCGCCGCGGCTCTTACCACTTCTGTTCATTCTCGCGCTTACCTCTTGGCTCCTTCGCACCGCGGCCTGTGCAGGAAAGGAAGTATCCCAAGCCCTACAGCGGCACTTGTGGGAAGGCTATGGATGAGTGGTTTTATGAGGGGTTGTCCTTTAACTTCAGCACACTGCGGCTCTTCACGGACAATGTGGGCAAGGGGATGGGCCACTTCACGCAAGTGGTGAGTGCGAAAAGGAGGGTGGGAGGGAATGGGGCGCCAGCGGCGGGCAGAAGAAGGAGTGGAAGAGAGAGGGGCGCCTGCTGCTGCTGTTGTTGTTGTTGTTGTTGTTGTTGCGCAGCAGTCAATCGGCCATCAGCTTTCCATCCCGCCACAAGTGCGCCTGCAAACCCCTCCTTTTCCCCTGTGCGACAAAAAAACATGCCGTACTGCTGTAACTCAAAACGAAAATCGATGTGCCACCTGCATAGAAACCATTCCCAGCCTTCATTCCCTCCCCTCGTCACCGGAACATCGCAAACTCCACAGCGCAACAGCGAGAGTCGCGACTCTGTGCGGTCGCATCTCCTCCCCCCTATACTCTGCTCGCACTGGCATGTGCCGGCTTGACCCGCGTGTCCGATTGGCCGAGCTCCCATAGGTCTGGAAGGGCTCCGTCAAAATGGGTTGCGGCACAGCCATGTCGGACTACACCATCCGATTTCTTTCGGGCGCCGTCCGGATAGGTGGCTGCAAAGCAGTGGTGTGCAGGTACTGGCCACCCGGCAACATCCCCACGGATGCCGAGTTTGCCGCCAACGGTGCGTGATTGACTTTAAGAATGTGCTAAGGGCGATCGAGTTCAGGGTGCAGCAGGGGGGATTTAGGGGAGGTTGCGTGTTGGGTTTGTGTGTATGTATGTCTGGGAGAGCCGCGCTGGAGTCGCGAGACCGTGGAGACCTGTGCGATGTCTCGCCCGCCAAGCATGCGGCCGGTTGTGCTTTCACTTTATGTAGCCGGGAAAGGGGGCTGGGGTTCGCGCGGTAGTTTTAGTCTGCGCATTTTGTGCCGGGGCGTAATCGGTTCCGGCTAGGGTTCTCGAAATCAGTTTCAGTGAGCACACTGCGTGATGCTGTCTGGGGTGCAGCGCAGAGGGGCGTTTGTATGTGTGCGCACGTGAATGCAGCATGGGAGCACCGGGCACCGCCGCAAGAGTGTCTGCCTTGCGCTTATTTATGACTTCAATGGCCCTTGCCTGCCTGCCTTCCCAATCCTCCCATATCTATATCTCGCTGCAGTGTTACCGCCAAGATAAGATGGTGGGCCATTCATGCTGTGTGAGAGAGCAATGATGGAGCGCCGAGTTTTGCGTGGAAGGGGAAATTATGGAAAGAATGGTATGTATATATCTGGCAGCAGCTCATACAAATGTTTGCTCAGCTTTGAGCACAAGCTGCTTCTGCTTAGTGATGGAAAGCTCAATGCGCATAGCTGCAAGTTATCATGACGTGCACCATACATGGAAGAGCGATTGCACGAGGTTATTGTGTTCGGACGATGCCCTGTAGGGGAGATATCTTAGTCATCGCGCGCGAGGTTTTAGAGACAAGTTGTGTTCCCGGTTGCTTCTTTCCATTCACCAAGTCAGTATCGGATTAAATATTTATTTAATGGTTTAATTGCAATATGCCTGACAAGGGCGTAGTATACGATGACATTGTGCATAGTCATCCAAGGTGAAGGCTGCGAACACCTTTACAAGAAGCTCCCTCGCCTTCTAACAAACGATGCCCATAGTCCATTAATTTTTAATTGTGTAGGCAATAGCTTGCTTTAGCCTTGTTGTTATTGTCGTTGCAAGCATTCCACCTATATCTGGTGGATGTCGCCTGTTAGCCCGTCGCTACATGTCTTGTCCCAACAGGAACGAGCGGAAACATGATTTGCCGTAAGTTTGCGAATGCTGGTAGAGATAGCGGGTAGTGAGAAAGGGGCACCGATGCAATCCGCATGCAGTATACATACATAGATCTGTGTTGGTGCTTTGTAGCATCTCTAGGCGGGCTGCTAACTTTGCCTGGTAAAAACGTTGACAGGTGATGTGGTCATCATAAACAAGAATTGCTTTATATATATACATAGGCAGGCGGCTGGCAGAAGTTAAGGCCTGACTTCTGCTCCCAGTCGACCCAGTCGACCCGGGTTCAAATCCGCCTGCCGGCTCCTCGGGTGTTTGAGGAGTGATGAAATGGGAGGTGGCCCCCCATCATATGGACGGTGTAGGACGTGATAATATCAACTTGCGAGCTGACCAGGAACTAAGTTGATGCGCCGTTGATCCGCTAGATTTGGTTGGATGCTGGTGGTGAGTTGCCGAACCCAACGAATACATTCTGAAGTCGGATGGGGTGACGGATTAGGGTGCCCCTCTAGCAGGGGAGAGCAGGGACTGCCCCGGGAAAGGGGGCCGCTGGCGAAGTTAACCACCCTGTAACAACATACATATACATAGACAAAAGCGGCTCCGGAGGGCGAATGGATGGGTTCTCTATGCTCTAATGTACATACGAGTCGTGTTTTGAGGAGCTGATGAGTGCATTCGCACACATATGGAAATACATCTTTCGTCGTCCATTGTGCGCCAAAGTGATTGAAAACGTGACGTTGAACATTGTGTCCACTCGCTTTAAAAACTACCCGCGGCGAGAAGATGAGGAGGACCTGGGGTTGCATTTCATTCTTTTAAGCGAGAAATGAGGGAGGATCCGTTGCGACGTCCTCAGCTCTCTGTTAACTATGCCTTGGGAGGTAATAAAAAGCGCAACCGCTGTTGGGAATTCGAGTTGTGTGTGTGTGTGTGGTCGTCACAGTGGGCTCAAGAGTTGTGGTGGAACTGCTGCGTTATTATTATAGTATTATCCGCCTGTGCAGCGCAGGCTTGCTGAATTTCTGTCACTATGCCCTAAGCTGTGTGTCGTTTGTAAAAGTACGTCTTGCCTTCACATTCTTAGGGTTATAACTCGTATTACCAGGTATCAGCTGCGAGGCTGGAGGTGATGTCATGAACTCGCTTAGACCTGGATCTGCTAAAAAAAACTTGGAAAACGGGTTTTTTGTGACAACAGTGGCTCCGGAAGAATTGGATACCCGATCTGCCGGTTAGGTGTGTTGTTAGGCGCGCGCGCACACACATGCACACATGCACACGCACATTCATACACACTATAGCATCTCAAGTGTGTGTTACCGGCTGGCTTCCTACACCGCTGTCAGACACCCCACCCAGCACTAGGGGAGAACCGCGAACCCGGGCGCATGTGTGTTCTGCTGCGCAATAGTGAGATTTATAGGAGGTGCGTGATACCGCAACCATCGTTTGTTACATACACGACCTCCGGGCAGTCCCGCCCGACCAACGAGGTGTAGCCGCAGTAGCACACGCCTAATACGGCAATGTTGTATACACCGGCGTGTCTCTCCTGCTGCATATAATGAACACCCTCTTTCCCGCCAAATCACAACTGTCTTTTTACCTTTTCCGCAGGGCCAGCCAATACACTCCACCCCGCCTTTTTTAACGCACAGCCATATCTTCTCGTGCACTCGTCAATCAGCAGCGAATGCGAACACGTGCGTTCCCTCCGCCGAAAAACATCATCTTCTCATGTTAGCAACAGATGAGAGCCCTCCAACAACCCGTGTGCGGGACGTTCTCCACACAACCACCGGTACCCTCATAAGACTGGCAAGTGCCGTTGATGGTTTCCTCCGTGGTTTCATCCACACGCACTTCCTCCCCCCCCATCCCCCCACCCAAAGAGAAGCAGAGTATCCTGGGAAACGACGGGGAAAGAGAGGAGAGCACAGCGGGTGACTTTTTAAGCCCTGCAACGAACAACGACTAACCGCTAGCAAGGTTCATCCGGCACAAGAAGAGTTAAAAAATCTTCACAGGTTGTTATCATCTCTCTACTCCTTTAGCTTCTTTTGCCATCAGCTCCGTGCCGGCTAGACCCACGCAAAAACACAAAACGTCTTCATTAATCCACATTCGCACTTTGGAACGCTTTGATGCACCGACGATACAACTCCTGGACTCTCTGGGCGATCAACACGGTAACCACACAGTCCTACACAGACTCCTCACCGCGATTGCCCGCGATTTCACGTCATTAGGCACATCCCCACATCTCCCCCACATCCCCACATCCCCCCCACATCCCCACATCCCCACGTCCCCCATTTCTTGTCATTCCAAAAACTTTTCTACCCGAAAACCGCCACTCTCTCCAACCTCCCTCCCATCTCGGGTGGTGGTGGGGAGATGCCACCCCACTTGCCACCACCACCTACATATCATACCCGTGTGCCAGGTAGCGGGTGGGGCGCTTAGATGGCCGGGGGCTTGGGCGGCCCGGAGGGTTCCGGAGCGACCTTGTTGCCTGCGCGCCGTGGCGGCGGCGGGGTGGGAGGTGTTAGGTCTGGCACCACCATACATCATAACGAGAGCGCACACACCATTCTTTTCATAGATTTTAGATAGATTTTAGATTTTAAAATCTAAAATCTGGCTGCATTGGCAAGAGTCCTGAGAATAGTAGCAGTACTGTCAGAAATTGAAAACCCTAAAACCCCCTCCCCTTCCCCCCCGCCCCCCCCCCCAGCCAGCAAGCTAGCCAGCACTCACCCGTCGTCCGCAGATTATCCTGGATGCCCTTGGCGATGTCCTTGCCGGACGGCCGCCCCTTCTTGTCCCAGTACCAGGCACCGCCCAGCACCGAGGCCGCCAGCCCAATACCCGCCGCCGTGTACATGGCCACCCTGCGGGCGTTACGCGTGTCGGTCTTGGTGGCGGCCCCGCTTGTGAGCCCGCTCTCCAGCTTGTCTGCAGCTTTGATTGTTTTGGCTGCGCAAGGGGGGAGAAAGAGGGGGGGAGAGGGGTGGGAAAGACGGGGAGAAAGAGGGGGGGAGACGGGGAGAGATGGGGGAGAGGGGGGAGAGATGGGGGTTATAGCGGATCCGGGGTGGTCAGGGTGGACATGTCTGGAAACGCACCTCTCCCGGGTAATGAACGCAGTACAAAACCCGGCAGCTCAAAAACACGCACATGAAACACATGAAACACGGCAAAGGCAAAGGCCTGTGCGCCGAAGGTGCATGCAGCTTTGTCTTTGTTTCCTTCTTCGTAGCACACATACATACATACATGTGTACAGCTCTCCGGTACGGCGTTGCATTCATGTTCTAACAGGTGTATGGTTTTATATGGGAGTACACTTGTCGCCGTACGCGGTCGTACGCGGCCGTACTCACACTCTGCTTTGCTGGTACCCCAGCGAAGGGCACTCCCCGCGCTGACCGCCGCATCCTTCACCCCCTCCAGTGTGCGCCGTACACCCCTCTTAGCTGCGTGTTCCGCGTCCTCCACAAGCTCTTCGGCACCACGGGCCACGCTCTGTACGGCGACACGGCAGCGAAAGGGTGGGACGTTATCGTACACATGCCGTGAGATGCCCGGAAAGTTCTTGGAATCCCGGCCAGCCCACATGCCACATGCCAAAAATCCCAAGCGTGTGTGTGACCTGCACATATGTGTTTAGTCGACACGTCCTTCTCCCCCAACCCCCCACCCCCACCCCTCCACTCACTCAGCCCATCCATCCCCACCCTCACCCACACTCAAGCCCACCTTGGCCGCATGCTTCGTGTCCTTGGCCACGTCCTCAGCGAAGTGCTTGACATCCTTGACGGCGCTCTGGTGGGGTTGTAGGGGCCGGTCGGGCGGCGGGTTGTTGGTTGGGGAGGGATGCGTGAGTGTGTGTGTGTGGGGGGGGTCGCAACGAGGGATGCGGCAGTCCCGAGTTCACCTCTCCTCCTCACTACCTCACCTCCACCACCACCACACCTCATGTCCATCTCTAAGCCCTGGGCCCTGGGCCCCAGCTCTGGGGGGATGGAATGGAATGGGATTCTCCCCCCCCTCCCTCTGTGCAGTCGTTGCTAGCAACACGGGGCTGGTCATTAACGTGCCGGTGGGTTCCTCCCCCCTGACGGATAGACAGACAAACTGGCCTGACGCGCCAAACTGACAGAGAGCGCGATGGACAGTTCGTAGGCAGTCTTTCGTGAACTGTCGCACCGTCGCCGCCGCCACAAGTTCCGACCGTGCTTAGGTTACGTGGTTAGGGGTATCCTCCGCTGCGGAAATCCCATCTTAAAAAATAAAGTTAAAAATAAAAACCCCAACCCACCCTCAACCCTGCCCCCCCCCATTGCCGCCTCCCTCCCTCTCCTTTCCCCCCCCCCCCGGGGAGCCGCATGTCTCCCTTCCCCCCAACAACAGCTCGCCTTGACGGTGTGCTTGACGTCCTTGGCGGTGTCCTCGGCCGCGTACTGCACGTCCTGTGGCATGCCGTACACATGGACCGAATGTCCGTGCATATCACCACAACCAGATTCGGTACGGCAAGGCGAGTCGAGCTGACCTGGTGCTGATGGGAAAGAAGCCTTGTACTCCTTACTACTAACAATTATTGTCTTAATAAATACAGACAAGATGCACAGACCAACAGTTCTTCTGATCTCCCTATGAAAGCTTCAAGTGCACTATGACAATGCCCATGTTAGAAAAAACATTATAAACTAATCGCTCCATTTCTATAAAACACAACTAATCTCTCCATTTCTATAAAACACACTGTCAAGAGATATTAAATACTACGCTAGCCAGTGGTATATTATTCAATGGCGGAACGACCCACCATCGGTGTTCTGTTTGTCCATCAGACCAAGGAGGACTGTGCTCAATCGTGTTTGCGATTGTATCATTATCTTTGCGCTTGGGGCAATGTCGCAGCCTATGAGATCTAATCGAGGCGCGACTATTGCTGGTTGAAAACTTATTCCTTCCCCGTCGGTTGTGTCTTTCGGGACCTTCCGCAATATTTGGCGGTCTTCGGACCCACCAATTTATTCTATAAATCGTGTTATTTCTTTATGTAGTGAAATTTTCCGGCCCCCCCCCCCCACACACACACACACCTTGACGCCGCTTTTGACGGCATGCTTGGTGTCCTTGGCTGCCGTGTCCAGGACGTGTTTGGTGTCCTTGGCCGTGTCCTCCGCGCTATGCTTGACGTCCTTCACGGTGCCCTGAACGGACAGCAAGCAGTCCAGCAGATTCCATTTAATATAATAATAACAGTCCACTTGTTGTTGGAGGGTATGTGGGAGGATGCGTCTAGTTTTTTTTTGCTAGCAGACGCGATCAGGGCCCCCCCCGGGCCCAGATATCTTCTTACGACGGGATGATGGAATTCACCCACACGTGGCCCCCGGGGGGGTTGGGTTTGAAGTTCAGATCCCCCGGGGGGGGGCCAGCGCCACCACCACCACCCGGGGCCACCCGCACCTTGACAGCGTGAGAAACGTCCTTGCCCTTCTCCTCCGCACTGTACGACACATCTTTGGCGCCGCTCTGCGAAGGCGCGCGCCAGTTAGGCGTGTGTGTTTGCGCCCGGGGGCGAGCAAGCCGTTGAGGGAAGCCGGGGGGGTGGGGGTGGCCGTGCGGGGGTGCGGCGGCGGGTTCATGTATCAAGACAGACATTGACAGACAGCGCCTGCAGGGCAGCCCGCAGCGGCCACCGCTAGCTCTCCGGTGGTGGCAGCACATAAATCATGGCGCCCTTTTCATCGACAAGACCCCCCGCATCCGTCCATCCATCCATCCATCCCTTCGGACCGTACGACGCAACCCTGCAGCAGCAGCAGTCCTACGCACACATACACGCACATAATACAGATGTGCACGCGCATAGGTGCACATACACATTCATACACACATATGCGTCATGTGAAGACGTATCTTCTCATATCGCCCACCCACCCCCACCTCACCCCCAAACCACCACCATCCCCGGGCCCACCAAGCAGTGCTCCGCACCTTCACGGTGTGCTCGGTGTCCTTGGCGGTGTCCTCGGCCGAGCGCTTGGTGCCCTTGAACCAGCTCTTGAGTGGGGCGGGGGGGCGGGGGGGCGGGGGGGCGGTATGAGGGGAGGGAAGGGGAGGGGATGGAAGAGGGGAGAGGGCGACCGGAGGGACATGACAACGCAGTGGCAGTACGACAGCCAGCGCGGCAAGGGAACGTCCGTCTGTCCGTCAGTCAGTCGGTCAGCAGCCCCCCAGTCATCACCCATCATCCATCAGACCTCCCATCCTCCCCCCCCGCACTACCACCACCGCCCCCCCTCACCCTGAGGCCATGACCGGTATCCTGAGCCGATTCCTCGGCGGAGTACTTGA